CTCGTACGGAATTATTTCAACGATTGCCGGGGACGTCGGAGTCGCCGCACGTCCACGCGGAGGAGGGAGGTGGCTCGCAGGAAGCGCTGGGCCTGCGGTTGTTGGGGGGAGCTCAGGGGGGGTACGACCCCCCCCTCTCAGCCAACAGCCCCCCCCCACGGAAGCCCCCAGCGGAGCTCCGCGGTCACGGCGTGTGGCGAGCGAGCCGCACAGCCGGATCTTGGCCCCACACTGTCGAGGAGTGTAAAGGAGTGCGAAGGATGCCGCGCCATTTCTCCTTCCTCGCCCCCCCCCCCCAATCCCAGCTTGCTGGACCTGTGCAGCCCCCCTAACCGGCCCCGTCAGGCACACCCAGCTGAGACCGTTTGGTATCGAGGTTGTCCCCCACTGCCCCCGCTCGCCGCCCCCCCCACCCAGAAATCCGACATTGGGCGCCGGCAAGCGAGCGACAGGACGTTACGAAGACCGAGAGCCCTCTTTGACGGAAGGCCGGGGGAAGATTAAGATGCGCGCGGTGCGTTTACGACGCGGCATTATTTGCCACGCCGTCCCACGTGCGGACCTCCATCATCCACGACGAGGGGGCCCCGGAGGTTTACGGCGACGGAGGCGCCGTCCGTTACAATTACACGGCGGGCGCTGCTGCCATAACGGAGGCACCAAACGCGCCACGCTGAGCGCAGGCGGCAGAGGGGGGGGGGGGGAGGAAGAGGGGGGTCAGCGCGGGGGTGGGGAGGGAGGGAGGCTCGACTGAACCAACCCACGTGGTACCACAGTTCTATTGATTGACTGTTTTTTTTTCGGTTTGTTCCAGCCGTTGTGACTGGTCCAAAAACCGATCGTTCCAAATTTCATTCGCGGCCTCTACCCACCACCTCACTAGAACAACAGACCAAGGGAAAGGCACAAATCACCAATTCCCCAGCCAACGGAACACATGGGGCCGCCAGGTGACACCGCATCCACCATCCTCGTCAACCAGGCAACAACTGCAGCTGCTCGTTTACTGAGCTGTGCCCCCTCCCGCTTCCCCCTCACGGGACATCCGCTGGACCCAGAGTTCAAGAGGCAAACTCACACGAGCGATTCGTTTCGGTCGAAATGCGCAGTGAGGATTAGTTTGTGAGCAGAACCACCGTCTCCTTGTCCATCGGCCTGCGGTTCTACAGTGCAACCTGCACTGGCAAGCCCGGCATTCTGTTTCCCCGATGCCCACGCTTCACTCCGAGCAGTGCCCACACCCGGCAGTGTTCCCCTGATGAAACAAACGTTGTCTTCTCCCCCAATTTTACAGCCATCGTCCCATCGGTGGAGTCAAATATGCACTGGCAGTGCCACCCATCGTGTTGAAGAACGGCTCACAGAAGCGGACTTCACGGAGCTACGTCCAAGCTCGTTACACGTGAACTCTGGCTCACACAATGAGGGGGGGGAGGAGGGTGGGGGTGCAGCAATTCTCACCGGCCCTGCTACAGATTAATGTTCATCTGATGACTGTCAAATCGATAGGTTTTCATTCTCGGAGGTCTAGCTAAATTAAGTGTAAAACAAAATGTAAAGCTAAGGGTTTCCTTTTCCAGTGATTGGCGATTGGTCTGTGACCATCGACTCGCTACAAATGAGCTCTCGGTTCGATCAGAGGGCAGCTGCCTGGATTCGAACCCAGGCTCCGAGCGGGTGCCAGCCATCCCTGAGGCAGGCGCACGTCTTTGCGCAATCAAGGGGCACACGTGCGCACGACCCACTTCTGACCGACGGAGCGACGGCTCGATCAAAGGACTGCCTTGTCGGCTCTTTAATTCGGTTTGCCAATGTCCTGTGTCTGTGCACAACACCATCATTATCAGCCACCAGCAGTGTTGACATCGTTTTGATGTTTTGGGCCCATTAAAAATCAGGCAACGGCTTTGCACGTGTCCATACTAACCAGTACAAACCCATTCACCTTCACAAGAGTTCTTTTTTGTGTCGTTTTTACAATCCTGTCAGTACTCTCTCATTTTCGTTCTGTCGCGTTTGCAGTTTTGTTTTGCCCCATTCGCCCAAACAGCAAAATCTGCACGTCGTCAGCGTACGGTCTACGTACCTCGACGCGAGCGTGGGAATCGATTCTCCCCGACGAACCGCTGCATAGTTTTACTCCCCATGTAGCAGTCGTCAATCTAAACCCGACTACCGACCCACCGATCTTCAGAATAAAGAAACACAAATTGGCGGAGATGTGGCAACGGCACCGTTGCCACGGGGCGATGGCGCAACCAGAGCAGCCGTGTGCCTTCCCGTGACGGCAGTCCGGCGGGCGCCGTTTCTCCACCACTCCCCTCCCTCGGCCTTTGATAGGAATCTGCCATTAAAACACTGGATAAAAACAGGTCACCCTACACACCATCATTTTTTCCCGTGCTGCAAACGCGACAACTCGACGATGAAAGGGGCTCTCGGCAATTAAGCTTCTGTAGTTGCCGACGTTCATGGCGTAAAAATTTCGTGCAGAAAAAAAAGCTTTTTTGTTCATTTTTGCAGTTGGATTAATGAATGCGAGAGCGTTGGATTTTGCCTGCACAAATTGTTCTCGAACGAACGAGAAAACGCATTTTTAAAAATCGCGTTAAAGATTACGCTCAATGAACATAACGCGAGCACGTGACGGCAGGCTCGCCCGTGATGGAGACCGTTAATCAAGACTCAAGGAGGGGTGGGGGGTTAATAAGCAGGAGCTGCTACTAAGCAGGAGTTGCTGCTCCTGCTTATTAAAACCAGAACTTTGGTGGCTATGCAAGGCTGATGCACACGAGTGCCAAAAGGCAAAACTCCGGCCAACAAACAAACATCGACGAGCGTGGGTCGGAACCGGCCTTCAGCTGCTGCTCACGGAGAGATCCTCGACGCCGTTGGATTTCTCGGAACCGAAACCCTCGCCCCTGGCACCGCGGGAGGTGGCAAGCATCGGCCGGCGCAGCCGTTTGAACTCTCCCGCTGCATGCGGCAGCCAAGACCGTGTTTCTTGGGGGACTTGGCATGGAAAGCCGAGAGCCCCCAGCAACGCGCCAGACGGCTGCTGTGAGCAGTAGCAACGAGTCCGCCGAAAGAAATCCTCAAGACTTCGTAAACACGGCGGTGGTACACGTGCAACCAGGTCACCGTCCGATGTAGCAAGCCCGTCGTTAACACACCGCTGGACGAAGGAGGAGTCTCCCCCCCCGCCCCCCCCCCCGTGTCGTTATGGGGGTTGTTTGACCATACTTCACCACGCTGGTCAGTATGGGTTGGTATAGCAGAGGGCAGGGGTGGGGGAGTGGGATATCACTCGCCACTGATCTTAGCTGTGACTGGGAAACGAAACGAAATTCGGTGAGCAGGTTCATAGCACCACGCACCCCACGTGTATCACACAAACGACAAAGAAATCGTGAACGTCCCATTGGCAGCGTGCGTGACGTGACGTTTCTACGACACGACGGACGTGACTACAAGGAGAATAATAGCGGCGACTTCCCGTTTGTGGTGTCGGGAGACGGGACCGCCGGTCGCCATCACTTATTAAATGCCACGTCAGAGCGCCGATTGAACTTTGCCGGGAGCCGCGAGCCGTGGCAGGTTAGCGCGCGCGTGCGTCAGTCTGGCCTTTCTGACGCCAAGCGAGGTGGCAGCGCAGTCCATCACCACTGCCAAAGCCACCGGTGGTGAAATGAAAACCCCCCGGTTTGGCACGAGGGTCCGCGGCACTTCTCGACCTTCGAGTTATTGCGTTTTATCGATCCGGCCGCGAATTTGCGCAAATAAAAAAAACTTCCGGGGGGGGGGGTTTTGATCGACGCAGCCGCGCGACGAGACTTCCTCGATCTCGCGCCGCACTCTCGCTCATCAGCGCTACACCCCCTCCGATTGGCTCATTTCTCGCTTGACAATGACCCCGCGGACCCGTTATTTTGCCACGGGGCATCCGATGTTAATGATTACTGTTGTTTCTCAGGGGTTGTAGGAGGAGCAGGCTCCTGCACCCGTCTGCCATGATAATCACACGTGACACTCCACGAGTAAAATGTTTTGCTGTCCGGTACGCGGTCGGGGCCAAGTGCGCGGGGTCGTGGTGCCGTCCCCTGTCCCCCCACAGCGTCGAGCCGGGCTCCAGCATCGCGCTGACGTCGTCACGCCCCCCCCCCCCCGCCACCGACGCCCCCCCCGCCCGCCACCAACCCCACCCCCCCCCCCCGCCACCGACCTCCCCACCACCACCATCCCCCCCTAACCACCCCCCCCGCCACCACCCCCCTGCCCACCTTTGATGTGGATCCAGCGCAAATATGCGGTGCAGGGCTCGCTATAACTTAAATAATATAAAACCCTTTTGTCAAGTCGATTCATTGGATGAGTCTTCTCCATGCCGTGTCGGTCAACAGAGTTGTTTGCCCCATATTTCACCGCATTGGTCACCGTGGGTGGGGCTGGGACCAGTTCAGATATCACGTGCCACCCATGTTGGCCACGGCCAGGAACCCAACCCGGGTCGCCGGATTTCCGAGTACAGTGCGCCAAAAACTACACCACCACGCCGCTCGCATCAGTCACGGGTAACTGTACGCCGGAAGCACGAGGTTATGAGGGTCAAGCACCCTGGGATGGGCTCAGGGTAAAACAGCTGTTAACAACGGCCATTAGCGCACCCTAGCATGCCCACAAGTCTCAAATGAGTGCCCCCCCCCCTCCCCTGCACACCCCCCAGAACAAACGAACGCGTGGGTATATTGCACACTGTACCCATACACTGTACTCCCCCCACTCCCCCCACCCCCCCCCACCGTTGGCGACTGTCCCCGAGTGGCATGCAGCGACTCACCCGACCCAGACTTTTGAAAGTTGTCGTTAAATTTCACCCCCAGCAAAAGTGCAGCCTCGCGATTGGTGCGCGACAGAATGGGAGATGGCACAGGTGCGGCGAAGGGGTTTTTTCACTGCGGCGTGGCGGCCACGCGAGCCATCGTGCCGCGCCGCCCGCTCACCTTTCAGCGCCGTGTTCACCTGCACGAACATCTTGCGCGGCTCCTTGCGCAGCATCACGGTGTCGCGCAGCGCGAGGAATCGCTGCTCCGTGTCATCATTCACGGCCGACAGCGCCGCGTACAGGGCCCTCCCGGCGTCCACGTCCGCCGTCGACTTGTACACCTGCGGGAGGAGCGGGGGTGTGGCGGGGGGGGGGGGGTTCAAGTTCACGTGGTCACGCTGAAAACCGGGCGAAGGGCGGGTTTGACGGACGGTAACACTGGGTCGAGCAGGACGGCTCCGGGCAGCTACACTGACATTCGGAGGGCGTTCTTATTTTGCCGTGCCACGCCGTGGTCCGCGTGCCATGCGCGCCGTGGCAGCACCTGCAGCTTGAGCAGGAAGTCTTGTATGGCGGCACGGCCCACGGTGGGGATCTTGGCGCGGTCGAGCGAGATGCGCGCATCGGGGCGCCCGTCCGCGCCCACCGTGTGCTCCACGCTCACGAGGCCGCCGCCCGCCTGCAGCAGCACCCGCAGGATCACGAACCGCGCCTGCATGTGAGCCTGCGGCAGCACGGAGACAGGGGGCAGAGAGGAAATGGAACACGAGAGATTTAACCAAAACAGAAACGTGGGTACGTGGGTGAAACAAAGAATGGGCAACAGGAACAGGGGCACGAGTATACAAATGAGATGGGACATGAGCTTGGGGGCATGGGGCCCAGGAACCACAGAAACACATTGACACAGTAACACGGAGACACAGGGATCGAGAGATGCCAAGCATGGAGATACGGAGGCATGGAGACGGCAAAACCGGGGGCAAAGAAACAGGGGCAGTGATGGAGAGGAGCAGGAGAGGCGCGCCGTGCACACAGAGGCGGTGCTCCAACACCGTACTCACGCCACCCGTGAGCAGGGCAAAGTCAAGTATTTACACGAACGTGTGTATTCCCTATAGGTGGGGCACGTGTGCTGCACGTGCAGGGGGAGGGGGGGGGGAAGACACGCGGTTGGCGCCCAGGCACCTGTCTCCAGGTGTCCGTCTCAGGCGTGTAGAACTCCAGCGCCAGCACGCCGGCGCGCACCATGGACAGCCAGTTGACGTAGGTCACGTCCTGCGCCGCGTTGCCCTCGTGCCCAAATATCCTGCGCGCGGGGGACCACGGGGAGCGCCGCGTCGTCACGGACACACGCGACACATGGACGCGCTACGAAACAAAGAGTCCCGTGAAGATTCCTGGTATAACCGAAATTGGGCATGGGGGCGGGGCAATGTGGGATTAGCAAGCACATTGAGGCCGGGACCATGCACGAGCGGTGGGTGTGGTTGCTGTCCAGAACGCCACGCAGCCGGTACCCACTTGAGGCCGCGTCGTCCTAGGGGAGGGCTCAGAAAAGATTCAGGTACCATGTGCCACTGGTGCTCGTCTTGGCCGAGAGTTCAGCCTCGCTTACTGGAGTCCGAGTGCGGTCACGTTTTTGTTTTACTAAATGCAAAATACCACGATGCCAATGACACTGAATGTTTACGTTGTGGACAGGCACACGTGCAAAATAACAAACTATTAGAACCCTTATATAACTTAAGTGGCATATGTGGTTCTAAATAAAACGCACGGCAGCCTGTTGTGTTTGTTTAACAAGTTTTGTTGAACCGTCCAAATCTACCTCAACCACACAAAATGTAGAATCGCTCTCGAAAATACCCGACATTTAAATAATTATCATCATCGTCGTCTCGCGTGGCACACGGCAATAACGACAAACGCGGAATTTAAATGAGGACAGACGGGCGGGGAGACGCGCGGAAACCCCGCGCTCGGCCTGTCAGGTGCGGCCAGCCGTGGTCAGATGCCCCGCAATTAAAGCCACAACAATACAACCAACTTGGCGCAATCGTAGCATGCGCAGCGCTGTCAAATTAGGCAACCGTGCATGAAAAGAACACGATGTATTTTCAAAACGAGCTGCAACACGGCAGGGTCTCGCACGCCGCGCAGGAATACAATTACGAAGTTACGAAAGAAACAAAAAAAATCGCAAAAATCATGTCCACGTTCGTCTGCGCGAGAAGCGACGGCGGGGGTAGGTCCCTCAACCAGGCGCGCGGCTTTCCCGCGCGCGCGGGAGCGCGCTTATTGAATGGAAAGCGACGATAACAAAAAGCAAATCGACTCGGCGATTTGTTTTAATGATCCTCACAATGGAGGCGGACGCGCGAGCGAGCCACGGCGCCGCACGCGCCTCCTCGCTCTCCCGAGCCGCTCCCCTTAACGGCCCCCCGCTGGGCTCCGTCACAGAGCTGCTCGCTTACTCCATTACTCGCGATTTGGGGGATCATTCAGCGTTTGTTTAGAGCGCCGCGCCGAGCGAGCTGCACACGCGGACTGTGCACTTCACCACACGGCTGTCAAGGAGAAAAAGCCCCGGCGGTGAGATTTAATTTATTTTCTCTCTCTCTCTCAAACCCTTTTACCCTGGAATTGGCCGCTCACTCGATTTGCTGCGCACGTCCGCGGCGATTTTCAAATTGTCCGATTATTGTTGTTGGTGGCAGCGATGGGGGGGGGGGGCAGCGGACTGACAGCGCGCGGCCAAATCGTAACCGTTCATCGCTGTGTGGAGTGCGTGCCAAGAGAGAGGGCACGAGAGAGAGCACGAGAGAGTGCCAACGAGCAGCCAAATTCATTGTGGGTGTGGCTCCCACGAGACACAATCTTCAATCGTAAGGCCGGCATCAGTGTAAATTATACGAGCACAGCACACAGACTACAGCACACGATAGCAGCCAACAGTGGAAGAGACCGCATCCCGCGAGATACCGTTAAATGCTTTTTAGAACTCTAGACATGAAGCAAAGAGTCAGATTTGAAAAAGCATTAGTCAGCGTCGCAACGACCACACTGCGCCGCCAATTACAGTTGATGGAAATTCAACGTTCCCATGGCACAGGCCAGTTTACTCCCGTTGCTTTAGCAACGTGGTACTCAGTTTAATGACACCCCCCCCCCCCCGCAATGAATGATGAAGCAGTAGAAACCCCCTAATGGGATCTGAACTCATAATATCAGATCGCGAGGACGGCAGTCCCCACCACCACTTGATGTTCGCTACGTCGCGCGATTTCATCACAACAGGGACCCCCCCCCCCCCTCCTCCGTACACAATAGAGGCGGCCGTAACGCAGCCAACCCGCGCATTGGCATTCTAAGAACAGAATCGATGCGTAAACAAATAAACATAGCTCATTTCTCCACGGCATGGCCGCATGCACAGCCGCAGGCATATCGATCGGCGGCCGCACGCATTAAAACGTCGGTTACGGCAAACGCGCGCACCCACAATTTAAACAAAGTGCTCGAGTGCCAGGGCACGGGTGGCACGTGCCAGGAAGCCGGCTCTTCAAGTGCCAGGGGTGGTGGAGCACGAACCCCACCGGCTGGCCTGCGACACGGCCATGCGGTGGCAGTGGAGTGGCGAGTTCCATAAACCTGTCCGTACGGGCCTTGACGTGTAGCCTATTAAAGTGCAGGTTCTCACTGGGCAATCTGGCTTCATCCTACACGTGCCACTGCTTTGGCCGTGGTGCACAAGCAAGTGCTGCGGAGATGGCCCAGTGTTGTTGACGAATGTTGAGTTTTAACATTTTAAAGATGAAAAAAATGTTTCCTTCGTTACAAAAAAATACAGAACCAGCCAACCGGATTCTACGACCGAATTCAATTGTGCGGCACCCACAGACGCGCAGCGCTTATTCCCACACAGACGAGGAGGGTGGCGGGGGGACGTTTTTCCGGGCGGTTGGGTGGAGGAGCAGAGACGGTACGCGTCCCCCCCCCACCCCCAACACCACCATGACGGTGCTGCAGCGGGGGTCACGCGGGGTCGACAGGCAGCTCAAGGCTCCGGCGGAGAGCGCTCGTTAAGCCGGCCCCGTGGAAATCCGCAGCGGCGCACGCTCTTCTGCCTGCGCGCTGGGCCGGCAGGAGGCTCGAACCCTCGCACGGCAAGTTGCCGGTTTGTGCCAAGCTTCCACTAAACGAGTGTGGTCAAGTATGGGCAAACCCATATGACCGACAGTGGGGGGGGGGAAGGCTTCATCTAGCAGTGAACTGAAAAAAGAGCACTGCACATACCTACTTTATTAAAATATAACATGAATGCCATGCGATAGCCATCATTCCAACGATTCTGTAATTGACCACAAACATGCCATCAATCATATTCTGGAAGATTAATGGTCAAATAATATTTATTTAACGTGGCTATCCTTTGGAGACTTGCTAAGTGGCATTTGACTGGAAACTGAATGCCTTCTTTGGCTTCCACGGGTGGTCGCTTCTCTGCTTCTGCTCCTAATGTCTGGAATTCACTTCCTCTTGAAATTCGTGTGGGTGACGTCTGCAGCCGCCCTTGTCCGGGTCAACACTTAAGACCTATTTGTTTTGGGTCTGAAGTGGGAACATGGCTAACGAGATTGTTGCGTTTCCCGTGAAGCATATATAAATGCAAATTGCATTGTAAATTTAAAACATATTTAGAAATTATCCAAACAATTTACAATGATGGAACAGACACTCAGGATTAAACGAAGTAACTAAACACACCGGAAATGAAGCCGGGCACGGAGACATGCTCTCCTCAAAGATATTTATCAATGGAAATTTCAAGACGGTGCAAATTGGACTACTACAAAAGCAGTGCATACAAAAATTTGAAAAATACAAACCATTTCAGAAAATGGAGACGAATATAACAATGGAAACGAAACGCAAGACGTTACAGCACAGAATGAGAAAGAGGGCTGTTAAGTTGCGCTCGAAACATGAGCAAAGCCAAAGTCACAACAACGCAAGTTCTCTAAAAACAAACCGAGATGCGTGTTGGGAGGGACACAGGAAAACGCACTGCGGTGCGTCAACCTCAGGTCCCAGTGCTCTTGGCCAAATTAACTTGACAATGAAAAGCAAACGCTCCCGTGTGCCTAAAGGAGGGTTTTCAATCTCTGCCTATTACTGATATGATGTGGAAACACGGACCGCACAGTACCTAGAGAAACACCCACGCGTAGGGGGTGATAACAACACCGTTACACAGAGTGCTCGCGTTCATAAACCCACTTGCTGTACTGCTACCTAACAGCCCAGCAGGTTGGGGAGTTGCCTCCGAAACCCTGGATTACGTTCATCACTGCGAGACGCCCGTTACCGCGGTAAGGCCATAGAGCGCCGCTGCCTCGGCGTAAATCACAGATTTGAAAAACTACTCGCAGCTGAATAATGAAAACGTAATATAGCTATGGCTCCCAAGGACCACCCAGAGAAAATGGATAACCCAATGAATGTCTCGGGCTCTTGATGGAAATGTGACAATGGATTGACAAGAAAAAGCTTCAGGAATTACTTTATTACATTTGTTCCAGCGGGAGTAATTTTTGGTGCCGAAGGCGGCGGGCGGCACTGGGGCAACGTGCACGCCCATCGCAGGAACAGCCCTCGGGTGACGCACGACGAGAAACCCCGACGGGTTGCGCTTAAGGCCCGGGGCGCTTCTGAGGGATTTCCTCGGCCGTGGTCACAATAGTGTGGGGGAGGGGCCAGCCACGCGGGGCATGGTGCCGTGGTATGCAATGACAAATTAGATGATAAATTAAGCATAAATCAGGACTCCATAAAACTTGCATCTTCTTAACTTTAGAATGTATAATTATATTTTTCTAAATGAAAATGCAGTTTTTAATATAAAAAATGAAACGCCAAGCGAGTATTTCACAGGAGACCAATTTCAGGGGATGGATTACTTAGGGATTAAAGCGGCAATTACAAGAGCTTTCACCCCCCCCCATCCACTTAATAGGAACACATTCGACTGATGATGGCAAATGAAATATAAAACAAACTAATACACCACCAGCGTTAACAACTCCTGCATTAAACTGGCAAACGACTCGCGCGCATTTCTAAACAGCAGTTTTAATTCACAACATTGTAACATAAATTATTCATATTACGCTTTTCGGATTAAGTAAAAATTTGGCAGATAGAACCCATGATGTGTCATCACCGACACTGTCCATTGAGCTGCCAGTCCAGATCCAGCCGGCTTATTGCCCAGGCAAAGGCCGTTAAGATTTGGCCACAACCTAACGCACCGATCGACGCCCTACAAATCTGCCAAGGAAACCAGCAGCTGCACACCTCCTCTTTTGGATGCGGCCAATGGAGAATCACCGTCGCCATGCAATCGTTATCTGGGCGATCATTGTAACGGGATGAGCGCTCACGCCAGATGACGCTCCACACGAGCGCCGGATTGTCAGCGTCGCGTGCCATGCGGCAGAGTGAGCAACGCAACGGCCCCGGAAGGGCCCGGAGTGTGCTGTACACGGCTTTCTGCCGCCTGCCCAACCCCATCGAGACAGTCCTCCCTAATTGAATAGCAAATTGCTATCGAGTTGATATTTCATAACGATCACATTTTTCTCAACGTCTCTCTGCGAGCTCCCAGAAGTGACGGTCACAAGGCGAGAGCTGGTGATGCGCCGGAGGGCAAATTAAATGGAGGAGACGCAGCGGCGAGGGGATAACGCTTATTAGCTCAAGATTAGTATGGATAATTTACACAGCCAAGATGTCTGTTTACGCTGTGCACCGATTGATGGCAATCCAGGGGGCATACGTCCATCCTGGAAAACAACGTAGGTCGGCTGAATGGGGGGAAGCAAGAGGACCTTGGGGGTGGAGGGCGAGAGGTCGGTGGGTGAGAGGGGCGTGTGGGGTGGGGGCTGGAGGAGGGTGGCCATCACTCGAGGGGACACACATGACGCCATGGCGTGCGGTTTGACGTCCGAGTGGGAAAGATATTCTGGCTTTTGCCAGCATGTTTTTGAGCACGTCTCACAACCGTGTGCCTGTTCGCTAATCTGGGACAAAGCAATGTTCTCTAAACAAAAATCACTGCAGGTGTTGTGTATAAATATATAAAAAATTACCCGGCTACGGCAAATTATAACAAAGAAAAACATTTACCGACATTGAATAGAATTAATGCCATGCTGTATGCTCGCGTGCGAAGCTGCCTCTACCCATAATGCCCCGTTGGAGATGGGCATGCGGTCACCTACACGCTGCATCACAGGTCACATGGTTACCCTGAAGCCACATGCAACAAATACCTCGGTTGGCTGTCAAGGCTCTGCACAATAAGCTACAAAAATGAAAACCCACAGTCAGTATTAAACAAGATTATTCTTACAAGTTTTGTCATTAATTGTCGATGATCTGGAATGTTAATAATACATTTTTAAAACAGGAACATTACGATACCTCTATTTATCTAGGAAAAATATGCACAGCTGCCAATCGCGAGGTCCCGAGTTCAATCCCAGGTCAGGATGTAGTCCATCTTCATCATCATCAATCATCATCATCCATTTTGGGGATGGTAAAATGAGCAACAAGTCATGGGCGAAGCGGCCCCCACCTATCGTTTAAGCCAAGATCTGGCAGCCCGAGATATTTATCCGTTTGGTCTCTTGAAGGATGTTTGGCTCCTTGAAAATGGTGCTCGCAAAAGGGTACCGTTGACACTGATGCATCCTTTGATCAGGATGGAAAGATGGGCCTGGTTCTAACGTTGGCACGCACGCGCGTAGAAAAGCACCAAGAATGTTGAAAAACGGCCAAACATTCACGACGTTCCCATGATTGAATGTATAAAAGTTTTGTATTGGTTCAATAAAAATAAGTTATCGGGGGGGGGGGGGGGGGAGGGGGGGGGGAAATAAAATCCTGAGACGTAACTTTTCAGGACACCTCGTAATTCTCACTGCCGAATTCGGAGCAGCGAGTTGCAAGCGAGCCCCAGCGCACCGCTCGTTTGAGCAACTGTCCGCCACATCTGGCCTAATTGGCACCCCAGGTCATAGAGCAATGGTCCTGTGCCTTAGAGGTTAACAGGCTGCAGAGGTCGGGGTGCCCAGTGGTTGGTCGCAGCCACGCGCCGCGGCGAATGCGCTCCTCCGCCATGATAAATACCTGGTGCCGCTACCTATCAGAAAAATTCGCTTTGGGGGGGCCCGTAGGACCCAGTAACGGCTGTGTTGGTGGGCATGATGTAACTGTGCACCTTTCTTGAAAAGACGAGGATAGATAGTGCCGAGATCACGGATATGGTTGGAGCTGCCAATTGGCCGCAGCGCGATTGTTCAGAGTGGCAGCGTCTCCCACAACAGCAACAGGCAAAAAAAAGACTTGAGGCGAAATGTATTGGTTTACACGCTCCCGCCGCTATTATTAAGTCGCGCCCGCCTGCCCTGCATGCTTTGCCTAAGCCATCCCCCTACGGCCACCACCGTGACTTCAACGGGGTCTCTGCAATGGGGCAATTTATTTACTTTCGACTCAGCCGAGCGCTGTGTGCATGCTCCATCAGATGTACCCTGGCTCGCACGAGGCTCTCCGAGGGAGGTGCAGCCTAACGGGCTATGGTGGGGTAGTGCACACCGTAGCGATTTCTCAACGTAAAACAAATAAAACAAGGTGCACACTTGTGCAACTCGGGTCCGCAGGAAGTTTTGCTGCGCACTCTCTCCACTTTAGCGGAAGAGGTCAGAGTGGGCGACCATCGGGGGCTGGGCGACGGCCGTGCATGAGGTTCCTACAGGTGGCCGAGCTTATTCGGTGGGGCAAGCGGAGAGTGACGGGCGCAGGGCATGGGTGCTACTGGACGGAGCAGGCGTTTAATTTTCCTTTAGAGTGCGGTGAACTTTCTCATTACAAACGAGCTGTTCAGTTTTGGGAATTTGCGATTATGGGTTGGAGCACTGGAAAACCGTCATCTACTCTTGTGGACGGTCACATGGGCGCCTTGAACGCTCACTTGACAGCAGATGTTCGCGTTCATGCTCACAGTACACTCAAGGCAGCAGCGGTAACTAAACTGTCGGCCGAGTGCACAGTGGTTCATTGGCGGGGACGCCAACCACTCGTGGAGCCAGCGACGTTTCAAATCAATCAACCATTCAAGTGGGCAATGCTTCTCCGATGTCCACTGTGCTCAGGCTAGACACCACGGCTCGTACTGGTGGCCCAGCTGCCAACGCACGCGGAGGACTCCCATCACGGGCGCTTACGACGAATGAGTGGTGCAGCCACCGTGAACCATTTCACCCCTTCAATTATTCATATTTATTCATTACGTGGCCCAGTCGGGCAGAAAACTTTAATTAAACATTCTAAACAGCAGCTGCAGCAGCGAGCGCGAGGAAAGCCATACGTGACGGATCAGTGAGGTTTCGCCCCTTTTTTTTTGTTCCCACCCACGGACGACTCTTCCTTTTGTGCTCACGAGCCGTGGAATTGCGGTGCTGATGAGGCACAGCGAAGGCTGCCACTGAATCACAGCACATAATTAAAAAACCCAATTCGGGCTTCAAAACTTAACAGCACTATTTATGAGCATCATTTAATGCCTGGGCCCAGGCAACCATTCATAAGAGTTATGATCATTGCCAGGCCAAAGCGGCCAATAAGCAACGCTTAAATCATGCGCCCACCACGTGAAGGCAGCTGTAACGGAGACGGTGGTGCGGGAAGATGGCAGGCCAGCGCGACGTGGAGGGGAGAACAAGGAAAACATAAACGCTCTCAAACTTGCGTTCTAACAATCGCTTGCATTGCACGAGGGGAAGCAGGTCCAGAGGTTCCCATCCGCGCCACGTCCGCTCGCGCTCCCACGTCCCTCCCGTTCCCCCCCCCGCCCCCCCAAGGGCCCACCCGTGACCGCGCAGCCTCGAGAAACGCACAGACAACCGCCGTCTCTCAAAAATGGCCCCTCTTCAACCAACGCCCTCTCGCTCAGACCCCAGCATGTGCCCACGCCTCGGTCTCATCTCCCACATCTTCCCACGGTCATCGTCAGAGCGACGCCACCCGGCGCCCGCCCGTCCCCCCGGCTCCCCGCCCTGCGGAGCGTCCTGCGCCGCGCTTGCGCCGTTCGCTCGGCGTTATCGGGCGATTTACGAGCGCGGGAGCCGGCTCGCGGCGACTTTATCTCGCCCCCACGGCTGCCGGGGAAAGCCAATTACCAATGCTCGCTGGACCGCGGCAAGATGGCCCGGTGTTAAAAAAAAGGTGGGGGGGGGGGGGGAGGAAAATGGAACAGAAAACTGAAGGACACAGAGCTGCGTAAGCAGTTTGTCCCACCATGGCGTGGCACGGGATTCCGACAAAGTCCTGAGCATAAATCCACTTAAACTGTCCCATCGTGCTGGGGATTGCAAAAATAAATTAAAACAAAAAGTAAATAAAATATAAAACATGAGTTTTCGATCCAGCGCGGGGCTCCGGAAGGCGAGGCTGCCAACTGGCCGAAGATACATTCTTTGCCACGCACAGGGTTTGGTGCATTCTTGAATAATGCCACGCTCAACATTTTTCTGCTCGCCCGTTAATAAAGTTTTTATCTCCTTGGCTGCACAGTATTTGTACAGACTCTCGTCTCGTCAGTTATTCGTGTGTGTAAACTGAAAAAGGTGCCCGACGGATAGTACACACGTACATCGCTCCTGTTCTCAGTGTGTGTGCGACTCACCGCAGCACGCCGAGGTCGAGGCTCAGATAGAGCCCCACGCTCTCGGCTCGGCACTCCTCGTACGTGGACGCGATGGACGAGAACTTGCCGTCCCACGTCTCCTTAGACTTGTACCAGCTCTTGATCTGTACACAGGGTTCAAGTGGGGGTTAGGGTGAATGTTAAGAGTAGTGGTCAAGTTTGGGAATGGGGTTGTGGTTGACCGTGGGCATTTCAGTCGCGCCGCGATTCATCCCGCCAACAATTTTTGATCAACTACCACGACCTGGGGGACGAAATTAAATTCCTAAAAAATATATATTAGGTCTCCTTTCTGCCATGTCTTTGGTAATGTTTGTCGATTATTCCGCCTTGGAGTGTCGAAGCGTGTTCCCGCCAATAGCCCAATGGGCCCCACAGCACGTGGAAAAAAATAACTAAACCAAACATTTAGCAAAGCAACATTAGCATATAATGCGGTGTAACACGCACCGCGTACCGAGAATGCAAGCGTCGCCTGTGCGCGAGAATAAATGAGAAACGGTACTTCAGATGCATGACGCAATGGAATTATTGCACATCACTAAACACGTGGGCATGCTTAAAATTACCCACAGCGCTAAGGATAACTACCACCACCCCCCTAGAACCTGCTACCACTTGGGAGTCACCGTTAATGAAATCGTTATGTCGGAACGAACGGTGCCATTTCCATAATTATTATTTTAAAGACTTCCTTGAGAGGTGGGGACATTTGTGCCAATTATCCTCCATCACCCACTAAGTGCAACATCCATAATCTTTAGTTTGTGTTGCACTTGCAGACTTAAAAAAATAAAACGAAACTCATTGGCCGCAAACGGCGGGAGCCCTAAGTTGGAATTCGTTCATAAACGTTGGGCGAAATTTAATTGAGCGGCAAAAGCCTCCTCTCAGAGCCCTCATAACCGCTGGTCGCCCGACCAGAACTTATTAAAAGTGCTCAATTAATAATTCGGTGGGCATCCGCGACGACGCAGGGACTTGCGAGCGGGCCCCCGAAAAATGGAGTCGTAGCGATTTTGGGGGGGGGGGGGGGGGGGGGTAAAAAAACCACGGAGACGACAACATCAAGATTAATAAATAAAACGCAAACCAAGCGGGGCAAACGATGCAAGAGCGGCGTGAACGCCGCTGCCTCCGAGACGGGCACCGTGTGTCATTTGCGATTGCATTCACTACCTGCTCTTTAAAAAAAGAGCCTCAGCGGTCTAATTTGGCGGCGGCACATCATCCCAACACAGCACAAACGAAAAATCAAAGCTGCGAGCGCCCCGGCAACGATTACAGGATGTCCGGGGGGCTCAGGGGAGCGAGCGGCCACGGTTCAAACGAGACGAGGGGGGGGGGCAAACGGCGGGATAATGGAGGGGGGTGGAGGCATCGTTGAGGATTTACTTTTCTCAAATCAACGTCAGCGCCGCCGCACACGAGCCTGACCGGTCAAGTCAACGCAAAACCACTTTAGCAGGCCCTCCCCCCGACCGTGCCACCCGACCCTCGTCACCCGCATGTAACAACCGTGGTGCTCGGCGACAGCGAGCCTGGGGCGGTCCGGGAAACTGGGCACGCTTGATAAGGTTGGGGGGAGGGCTTTCACCACTCATCCCCACTTACCCTCCCCCCCATCTGCGAGTTCGATCGGCAAGGTTTGGGGTTACGACTGCACTCAATTATTGATTATGCTTCTTATCGATAATGGTTGAGTTGGTACCGTTTCGCTGTCTCGTTTGTAAAGTTGCATTCACTTCGCCATCCCAAACGCAGCAATGGTATACAATTTGCCTATAATTAGCATATGTTGTATGAACACTTATTTTCTACAAGCACGATTTAATGCATTAATTGTAAGAATACATTTAAAACCATCAAAATATGGATTAATACACGTAAATGCGGAACGTGAACAAGTAAAAACCATAGCAACGGACAAAGTTAGCTCATAAGAGAGGAAATGCAAACAGCGATGTAAGAGCAGAGATGGAATTTTTACGTCGTAGAACTTAAATCTTTGTACAGGCGAGCGGCGATTTAAAAAGGAAGACGCACCTCGTCCATGTCCCAGGCTGCCTGGCACGAGCTGGGAGGAGAGTTGTCACAGCACTGGGTGACAGCACTGGGTGACAGCACTGGGTGACAGCACTGGGTGACAGCACTGGGTGACAGCACTGGGTGACAGCACTGGGTGACAGCACTGGGTGACACCACTCCCACAACACTTCAACACGGTAATGCGCCGACATTTTTGAAGTGCTACGCTTGGGGTGACCAAAACGTTAGTCTTTTCCCCCTCCCCCCACACATACTCTCTAGTCAGCCAGCCTAGACGCTTATCTACAAAAGCCATCTGCGTTTTTGGAATGCATCCTTCTTTTAAAGTCGAGCCTCGCGAGGAGGGACATCACGCCGCTGCTCACCTCGCGCAGTCAAAGTTACATTGCCGCCCCCCCCCCCCCCCGTGTAAATAAAGTGGGCATAAATTCTGATTTAAAGCTTTCGTGACTGCAGGGATTCATATTCTTGGTTCTATCGGTAAAGTCACGTAGAAGGGAAACAATAAAATAATAAAAATATAACACAATAAAATTATCACGTTTCGACTGCAACACAAGCAATCATCATCAGGTGTGAAAACCACAGCAAGAGCATTTTAAGAAAGTGGCGGTTATTTTCAACGTTAGCACCACAGAGAGCAATTTGACGGTTTGTTCAGATGGACGAGTCCATCTATGTTCGGAGAAGAGTGGGGAGACCAAAATTATGGATGGGGTCTGAAAGCCACCATAAGCGTGAACAATCAATTAAGACCCGAAATGGTTTATCAAATCCTTCCAATGATTGCTAAGCCAGAATCCATCTTCTCGGTTGAAATTGTCTCTGTGTTTGTATGTGGATAGCCTCATGAACGAATCTCTCATGGTAGCCAGATGTCTTGCAAATAAGTCAATGTCATGTGAGCCTACTGAATTATAACAGTGATCTGCTACGGCCGAGGTGTTGGTCCTACCGTGTTTTAGGTCTGCTTTGTGTTCACGAATGCGGTCCGAGACACGTCGTTTGGTTTCTCCAATGTAACTACTACCACAGAGGCAACTTAGTTTGTAGACACCAGGGTACTGTATGTCCGGAATCACATCTTTTACAGACGGAACCAGATCACGGATTTTATGTAATGTGTTGAATCGGATCTGGATCTTGTGATCATTCAAGATTTTGGAGATCTTTTTTGTCATCCCCGCAATGTAGGGTAATGTGATGGTTTTTAATGGCTCCTCAAAAGGGTCCTTCTTCATGGTTGGAGTGATAGCTTTGCGGATTGTGTAGTCGGAATAACCATTAGCCTTAAGAGCTTGGTGTACGTGTTTGAGTTCACTGGCTATGTGTTCCTGGTCGGATATGCATTGGGCTCTATGGTGCAGAGTCTTGATGAGGGAATTCTTCTGGGATGGATGGTGGTGGGAATCCAGTTTCAGGTAAGCATCAGTATGGGTATCTTTCCTGTAGAGTGGCTCATTGAACCATCAGGTCTCTTTTTTATTAGGACATCCAAAAAAGGTAGCTTGCCATCTTTTTTATTATTTTATTGTTTCCCTTCTACGTGACTTTACCGAAAGAACCAAGAATATAAAGTGGGCACAATTACACTGCTCCAGGACCAAAGACACGGCCACCGCAATTGCAACGGGTTTTTATGGCAAGTGTAATAAATGGGTGAATGTCCGGGCGTGGCGGTAATTGGACCGGTAATGGCTGGAATATGTTGCGATATACTTAAACCCTAGCCTACGTAAAAAGGCAACGGGCGTCACATGTGAACCGCAGCCAATTGTTATTGATAGAAATTACCGCGCCCGGCACTCCGTCACGACTGCAGACCGAGGCACGTAAACAACAAATATAAATGGTGTCGGTGGGCTCGCCGGGTCGGGAGACTCGTAAAAACGGCCGTGTCCGCAGCTCCGAGCCGCTCAGACCCTGCATTGAACCTGGGGTGGCCACCACCTGCGGTTAATCTACGAACCCATGTGGCAAGCCGATGGTCTCGGCCCCAACACCAACAACTGCGCATTGCGAGTTCTACATCGTGAGAGCTGCCACGGTGGAACGGAGAGCACACCACACTCACAAACCAGAGATCGACCGGTTCGATTCCATCTCCCGGCGTGGTTGCTTAAACTGGGGTGGCGGCCCAGTTTATCAAATCACCTCCCCCCACCTCCATCCACTTTAAGGCATTTATTCCACCAAGTGGACAAGAGGCTTCAGCAGGAATTCTTTAACATGTCTTGCAGCTGTTCTCCGACACAAGGTGGTACACTCATCACTAAGAGGTCCTATTAGCAGTGTCCTCACCGCTTCGCACGACGCAGAAAGCGCTCCAGAAAAAACGGCTGAGAAAAAAACCACACAAACATAATAAGTTCGACACAAGTCAACTCTGTCACACGACCATAACGCCCATATCGTTAATTGCTCAATCCCCAATTACACACACGTCATCGGCGCCTGCATGCTGCTCGTTTTCCCCTGCACTTGTTTCGCTGTTTTACATTCGGCAGATGGGCGTTCACGAAGCAGTAAATGTCACGCGCCAGCATCAATCTCCGCCTTCATTCCACTCCACTCGTAGTTTTTATTTATTATTGCGGACGCACAACACCATTTGTGCCCTACACGCACGCGTGCCCGTCCCCCTGCGTCTGTGCGTAATTACGCAGTGGGAGCAGCACCGTGGTTAATGATAGCGCTGCGCCACGATCCTGGCCACCTGGGTTTAGATCTCAGATCTGGATGCTCAACATAAGCAGCGTGCGCATTCTGAACCTGGGCTAGGTTGGCTTAGCCTTATAAAGGACAGGTCGGTGCGTGTGAACATCAGCGCAAGAGAAACAAAGGCAGCCGGGCATGAATGCTTCCAATCGCACCACCTCTGGCCAAGCTCTTAACCCAAAAGTCTGAGAATAAAAGCCCACAGTTTAAAGATTATAATATTGTTTTATTTGCGCCGTGTTGAGTAACGGAAGTTGGTGACCATTTACAAAACAATCGTTCAAACGTTTCAACAATAAGACACGTTTAGAATAGGTAGGGTCACTTTGTCAACTGC